GTAAAGAATGAATTTTTATAAAAACCAATTTTATGTAAAACAAAAAATGAACTTAAAAAGACGAAAATGAAGGGAAAGATGACATATTATGGAATGAATGTTTATCAATTAACTGAACTAGATGAACATACTCAACCACAACAAATTATTGATAAAATGAATGAACTATACGGAGAGTTAAAAAAGGCAAAAATTGATAATAAAAAAGAGCGAATGGAAGAGTGGAATGTAGTGATGGATAATTATGAAATTGACCCAATTGGATATTACAAATATTGTGAAGTTTGGAGGTTAGTAATTCAGTGTAATACAAAAGAATAATGAAATTTAGAATAAAGGAATGTTTAATAAACCACCATCAATAAATATTACGATTAAAATTACATTAAAGAGTGTCAAAAATGGATTAATTAAAACAATTAAATATCAAGTAAAACGAATTAATAAATTAACAGCAAAAGAATATAATGAAATGATAAGTAAAACAATCAAAATAGAAAGAGGAGTTGATAGTGATGATGAATATATTTTTGAAAAAGAAGGAAATGAAGAAATTGGAAAGAAACAAGGGGATTTGAAAATATTATTTGAAGTTATTTGTCATGACTTTATTCGTAATAAAGAAAATGTAATTTTGAAATATCCAATCAATCATTATGATGAACAACATGGATTTATTATTAGTCATAGAGGAATTAATGATGATGAATGGATTAATAAACGAGTAGAACCAAATAAAGTCAAAATAGGAGATTCAGAAAGTGTAATAACAATTTATGGAAAAGGACTACCAAAAAAAGGAGGAGAAATAGGAGAATATGGTGATATATTTATTTTATTTACTGAAAAAGAAACAAATTAAAAGACATACCTTTATCATTAAGTTAATTTAAGTTCCACTATAACTTGATTATGTTGATATTTTCTTCTTTTTGATGACTAAGAAAAATGAGTGACTTTGTTCTTTGTTTATTTCATTTTTGAGACAAAACGTTTTATAAAACATAAAGAAAGGATTGATTGGAAGAAAAAAACTAAATGAAGAAAAAAAAAAGAGAAAAGGAAAACTAAAAAATTGAAAACGAAATGTCAATTGGGAAAGTCACTTGTAAATATTGTGGATGTCCAATCGTAGAAAGGTCATTAGAACTTCTGTCCACAGTACCAAAAAAACAATGTTTGTTGAATAATAAAAAGGGTAATAATCAAAAAGAATATAGAAATAATATGTTAGTTTCATTTGTAGAGAATCAACCAATGAAATCACTGTCGAATTCTTTTTTTATAAATAAAGGGGTGGTATATAAACCAAAAACAAAACCAATACAACTTTCTTCTTCAATGACACAGACAGACTCTCCATTACAATGGTTATATTTTGCACAACAAGAAAAATTTCCATTTGAATTACCTATGTGTGAAAGTTGTTATCATAATAAAAGTAATGAGATGGATAGAGAAGAAGCAAATTATACATGCAGTTATTGTGAAATATTAAAAATGTTTGATGACTTACAAGAATTAAAAGGTTTAGAAGAAGACATAAAACAAGAAGAATTAAAAGTGCAAGAACTAGAAAAATCAATTTCAAGTTTAGAAAAAGAACAAACACAATTAAAAGAAGATAAAGAATTTATAGTTTCATTACAAGATTCTTTCAAAGAGAAATATAAAGAACACGCACAATTATTAGCAGAAATAATTCGACTATCAAATAATTCAAGTGATAGGTTTAGCAGAATTGATATTCAAAAAGAAAAAGAAGAGTCAAAACAATATGAAGAAAATGTATGGAATAAAATACATCGTATTGAATGGACTGAAAATGGAATATTATTTAATTCTATTAATGTTGTTTCTGATTATCAACATGTTTGTTACGTTATTTCTAAACAAATTATTTAGAATTTAATTAAATAGAAAAAATATAAAAATGTATCAATTTGTTTTTCATTGATTATTAAAGAGTGTTTACTTATTAGACAAATGTTACGAACTCAATTAACAAAATGTTCTATTATAACAGCGTATTCTCAATTTTCAATGACTAGATTAAATTTAAGTTATTTAGATTTTAATCAAAAGTCTATAAAAAGGACTAAATCTTTCACTTATTCTTTACAAAAACTTTCATTGGTTGTTGAAGAATTAATTACTATTGTTTCTATTCAGTTTAATAAATATAAACCACTTTATAAAATTAGTAATTTTACTGCTAATGGTTTATCATTAGCCCCATCAACATCTCATTGGAACGACGCAATAAAATATTTTCTTTCCGAATTTAAACATTTAAGAGAATTTGTTCTTAAAATTGTAAATTAATTTGACTTTATTTGTTGAATGATTTAAAATTTAAAATTTATTAAACCAAAAAAAGAAAATAAAAACTAATAATTATAAGAACTGAAAATTAATATTTAAAAAGAAATGTCTGAAATTAATCATCCAGTAAAAATTGAAGCAGTTTATCTCATGTCTATTATTCCACACTTTATTTCATTGAATATGTTAATGAGATTTCATCAAGTTAGCCATAATTGTGGCGAAGCAATAACACGACTAAAGGTTAATCCATGTTATCAAGAATTATCATTAGAAACAATCCTTCAAAATGACCAATCAATTCATATAAGAAAAGAATTACAAATTTTTACTGGAATTGATACTCTCCATACAGATATTAATACTTTACAACAACTACCACCAGAATTATTAGTTAATGTAAAACTATTTGAAATTAGTTATATTCAAAAACAAACACCTTCTTCATATCCTATTTGGGAAACAATTAAAGACCGAGTTTCTAGATTAATTCTGGAAGTTAGTTGTTTACCTTTATTTGATCTTCTTTCTTTACCTAATTTACGTCGTTTAGAAATTAGAGCAGGAAGAAATGGTCTTACTGAAAACTTACCTATTAGATCAATGGAGTCTTTACAAACATTAGTTGTGTATTGTGATGGTTCACAATTTAAAACTTATTATGATTTATTTGAACAGTTTGTATGTAGTAAATTAAGGGTTCTTTATAAACTCAATTGGGTACAACCAAATGACTTTGAAGATATTTTAAAATTACACCCAAGAAGTGTTATTGGGATTTATTTAAATGAACTTCCTCCAGATATCAACAATTATCTTTCAAGTAAAGTTGTGTTATTGTATTATCAAAAGAAAGAATTTAGAATACCAATTAGTATTTTTATTGACCAACAATTTCTTGCATTGATGAAGTTATATCATCCATCAATGATTGACGTTCGTGGAGACATAGAAAATGAAGAAAGTAGTATTATAGATCTTCATGAAGAACATCAACTAGAAGAAATAATTTTCAATTTTGTAACTACAAAAGAAAAGATTTCAGTTATTCTTCCAAAAGAATTAAAGAAATTAACTATTAACCATGGCAATTTCTTAAAAGAAGGAGGATTATTACAACTTCAAAACACACAAGTTCCTCGTGAATGTTATGCCTCATACGGAGATGCTGTTCCAAAAAATAATTAAATCTAAATTAAATGAATTTTTTCAATATTATTGGTTTTTTTAATTATTTACAGTACATTTAAGAGAAGAAGGTGGTTGTAATGGATCAAATGTTGAAGAAGAAGAATTTGATAAAGGCAATGGAAGTGAGTGTTTCCAAAGAAATAACCAATTTACTAATTGAGGGTTATAATTTAATGGAGATATGTTTTGAAGGAACAGTTCAAGTGCAGATTGTTCAAAACTAATTTGAATATTAGGAAATAGTTTATGAGTATAACTATATTGATGAAGAATGTTTGTGATTTGAGTTTCTAAGATTTGGTTTTCTTTCATTAGCTCGAATTGAATTTCATTAAGCGAAGAAACATTAAAAGCAATAGCACTAGAATAGGGTTTTAGTCTGACATATCCATTTTTCATTTCAATTACTTCAAGAGATTGAAGTATTTTTAATACAGCATTCAGTCGTTTATTTAAGTTTGTCTCTCCTACAATTTTCTTGTTGATAGGATGAAATGGAACCCAATAACACCTTAATTCTTTAAGGATTGAATATACTAAATTATTATTTTTACTACATTCTTTTTTCTTTTGAGAATGGTAATGACTAGGTTTTAATAACTCAATAATCTTTGAATAATTTCTTTCGGCAAACATAATAGAATGCGTGAATTTCTTTCTTTATAAAATTTTAGCTTAAATGAAAGTGACTTTTTAATAAGATTGAATCTTATTAATTACTCTAATCACGAATAAGACTGAAATTTTTAAATACTCTTAATACGTAATTTTTTTTAGTAATAAAGAAGAAAGAATAAAATTTTTTCATATTTTTTTTTCTCTTTTTTAATAAAAACCCTTTTTATTAATTAAAGAGAAAAAAACCCTTAAAATAGTATTTCATTAAATATCAATAAGAAAAAAGATATCATTTAAAAAAGATGACGTGAAATCCAAAAAGAATAAAATGACAAGAAAAGAAATAAAAAAAAAAAAACTAAAAAAAATGAGAAAAAGAGAAAAAGAATAATAGAAGAATGTATTATGAGGAAAAAAGAAAAATAATAGGGAAATGTATCTAAAAAAATTATTATCAAGTTACAATGACTGAACTCAACATGGAAACGAAACGAGTCAAACAAATAAAATTTACTTTACTTTCTTCTGAACAAATCAGAAAAATGGGTGTTTGTAAGATTACTGAAAGTACTTCAGTTAGTAGCGATGGTAAACCAGTTTTAGGTGGACTTGCCGATCCTCGTATGGGACCATTTGAAAAAGGAGAAGAATGTCAAACATGTAGAGGAACAAGGACAGAATGTCCTGGTCATTTTGGATATATAGAATTAACACAACCAGTTTATAATGCTATATATATGAAATATATTTTACATGTATTAAAGTGTGTTTGTCCAATTTGTAAACGAATATATTGTCATGGAGATGAAAGAGTTAAAAATATTAAAAGTACTGGAGAAGAACGATTAAAAGAAATTTATGAGTTTATTCATAAAAACTATAAAGCTTGTGGAGTTTTATCTGAGAAGAAAAAAGATCTTGATAAACACCAAAATAATGAAGAAGAAGAACAAAATCCATGTAATGGACCAATTGTAGATTATGAACTTCCTAAATTAAAATCAGAAAATAAATTAGAAATTAGAAGAAAAAATGGAATAAAAACTAATGAAGAAAATGATTTTAAACCAAGAGATGCACTTGCAATATTTAAAGATATGACTGATGAAGATGTTAGAGTACTTGGATTTGATCCAATTGATTGTCATCCTAAATTTATGATTTTTACATTAATTCCAGTACCACCACCATGTGTTAGACCATCTATTGTATCAGAAGGAGCAAAAGAATCTAAAGATGATTTGACTGTATTATATGAAAATGTAATAACTGCTAATGAAAGACTAAAAGAAGAAAATCAAAAATGTGAAGGAGTATCAGAGTATTATAATAAATTAATGGAATTACAAACTATTTGTGCAAAAATATCAATGAAAAATGTTAAACTTCCAGAAACCATGTTGAGAAAGAAAAATTTTAAATCAATTGAAGAAAGACTTTCAAGTAAACAAGGTAGATTAAGATTAAATCTAATGGGAAAAAGAGTTGATTTTTCTGCAAGAACAGTTATTTCACCAGATCCAAATTTATCAATGGATGAAGTTGGAGTACCAACAGGAGTTGCTAAAATTTTAACATTTCCAGAAGTAGTTACTCAACATAATAAAGAAAAATTACAAAAATTAGTTAATGCTGGAATGAATGATTATCCAGGAGCATTTATGTTAGAAAGAAAGAACGGACAAACATATAGATTAAATGGATCAGAAAAAATTATTGATATTGGAGATACTGTGCATAGATATATTATGAATGGAGATTATGTTATTTTTAATAGACAACCTTCATTACATAGAATGAGTATGATGGGTCATAAAGTTAGAGTTTTACCATTTTCTACATTTAGAATGAATTTATGTGATACTACACCTTATAATGCAGATTTTGATGGAGATGAAATGAATTTACATGTACCACAAACACTTGAAGCAAGAGCTGAAGTTGCTACATTAATGTTAACACCAACACAAATTATTACACCACAAGATAATGGACCAATTATGGGTATTGTACAAGATACACAATGTGGAAGTTATTTAATTACAAAAAGAGAAACGTTTATTGAACAATTAGTATTTTATAATATCTTACAATGTTTAGATAACTTTGATGGAACAGTTCCAATTCCTGCAATATTAAAACCAATTCCTAAATGGACTGGGAAACAAGTATTCACTCAAATTCTTCCTACTATTAATTTTCATAGAGGTAATTGGTCAATTAAAGAATTATTAAAACGTGGACCAGCAGTAGCTGATTCTGATGTATATATATTAGATGGTGTTCATTTAGTTGGGTCATTAAGAAATAAATCAGAATTTGGAAAGAATAGATCAGGTATTATCCAAACTATTTTTAAAGATAAAGGAATGGAAGCAACTAAAGTATTCTTTAATAAAACACAAGCCACTGTTAATAGTTGGATATTAACAAGAGGATTTACAGTTGGAGTAGGAGATATTGTTGTACCACAATCTGTTCATGACTCTATTAGAGCAAATGTCGAAAAAAGTAAAAAAGAAGCAGTAAAATTTCTTAGCCATCAACATGATGATGAAATTAAAGTACAAGCAGGAAATACTATGTTCGAAAATCTTGAAAGTGAATTAGGTAGTTTGTTAGAAAAATTAAAAAATGAATGTGATTCTATTACTACAAAATCATTAAAAAAAGATAATAATTTACTTGCTATGGTAGATTCAGGAAGTAAAGGAAGTACAACTAATATTCTTCAAATGGTAGCTTTTGTTGGAAAACAAGAAATTAATAATTTAAGAATTCCATTTGGATTTTATAAAAGAACATTACCACATTATTGGAAAGAAGATTATGGATTTGTTTCTAGAGGGTTTGTAGAAAATAGTTATGTGATGGGATTATCTCCACAAGAATTTTTCTTTCATGCTATGGCAGGTAGACAAGGTATTATTGATACTGCTGTTAAAACATCAGATACTGGATATATTCAAAGAAAAATGGTTAAATGTATGGAAGATGTACAATGTAAATATGATCGTACAGTTAGAAGATCTAGTGGAGATATGGTAGAATTTATGTATGGAGGAGATGGAGTAGATGCATTAATGTGTGAAACACAAAAATACATTTATTGTAATGATTCAAAACCTGATAATTTTGAAGGAAGTATTAATGAATATGATACTTTAAAAATGAATGAACTTTATAAATGGGATTTAAATGATGAAAAATTAAGTGAACTATTAGATGAAGATATTTATAATAAATTATTTAGTGACGAATATCAAACATTATTTGATAATGAATTCCAAAGAATATTAGATGAAAGAGCAGAATTATATCAACCATGGAGAAGAAGTCTTGATTTAAAACCATGTGATATTCATATTGTTGTTAATTTTGCAAGACAAATTGATAATGTTATTGCAGCAAGATATTTACCAAAGAGTCAAAGAAGTAATTTAGATCCAAAATATGTTATTGAAAGAGAAAATGCATTAATTAAAGAATTATCTTCAATTGGAGCTGTTAAAAATGATAAATTTGATGAAGAAAGATTTAAAGATGCACTTGGATCATTTGGTAAATTATTACACTGTACATTAAGTAGTAAACAATGTTTAATTCAACATCATTTATCTAAAGAATCATTTGATGATTTAATGGATAGAATTAAAAATATTTATGAACGTTCATTTATCAATCCTGGAGAAATGGTTGGAAGTATTGCTGCTCAATCTATTGGTGCACCAGCAACTCAAATGACTTTAAATACATTCCATCATGCAGGTATTTCATCTGCTAGTGTAACTGAAGGAGTCCCACGTTTAAAAGAATTATTAAATGTATCTAAAACACCAAAGACACCAAGTATGAATGTTTATTTAACAAATGATACAAGAGAGTCAATGGTTGATTTAGATAAAGAATTAAATAAAACTATTCCTTACACTAAATTAAAAGATCTTATAGATAATGTGGAAATTTGGTTTGATCCTGATATTGCCAATTCAGTTATTGAAGAAGACAGAGAATTTATTAATGATTTTATTGAAGTTGAAGAAATTAAACCAGAAGACTATTGTAAATGGACAATAAGATTAGTATTTGGATATAATAAAATGGTTTCTATGGGAGTTGATTCTGATTCAGATATTTTAAGAGTAAAAATAAAAGAATTATTTAAAGATGCATTAGTTATTCCATCAGACTCAAATAATATTGTAAATGGTACTGTTAAAATTGTTGTTCATATTAGATTTAGAGTTGGAAGTATATCTGAATGTTCTAATATAGATCATTTAACTGATGAAGTTGATAAAAGTGTTGAAGCAGTAGCATATTATAAATCTAAATTAGATGAATTATTAAGGACTGTTGTTATTTCTGGAATTGAAGGAATTACAAAAGTTATTATTCCTCAAAAACCAAAAAATACAATTGTAGTTGATCCAGAAACAAAAATGTTAAGAGATCAATTACAATGGGTAGTATTTACTGAAGGATCTAATATGGCAGGTTTAGCTGAATGTGATAATGTTGATTTTTATAAAACTGTTACAAATAATGTTTATGAAACGTTCCTTTATTTAGGTATTGAAGCAGGTAGAACTCAACTTGAAGCAGAACTTATTAAAACATTATCTGGGTCATATGTTAATTTTAGACATTTAGCTCTTATGGCTGATGTTATGACATTTACTGGTAGAATTCAACCTTTTAATAGAATGGGTTTATCACGTGGAAGAGCAGGAGTTATTACTAGAGCTTCATTTGAACAAACATTAGAACAATTTAGAAGAGCAGCTGCATTTAGTGAATCAGATATTTTAAATGGTATTTCTCAAAATATTTTAATGGGACAAAGGACTGTTGCAGGAACTGGTGCATTTACTGTATTACTTGATATAGATTCATTAAAAGCATCAAATATTGATGAAAACTCATTTAGTGAAGAAGAAGCTGATAAAAAAGCATTCATTGATGGATTTGATGTGTCTCCAATTAGAACTCATTTGGTTATGTCTCCAACAAATACCAATAAACCAAAACCAATGGGATTCTCTCCTTCACCAGTTTCTCCAAGAAAAACACATCCACAATTTGCTACTCCATCACCATTTATAACCTCTTCTTCTCCAAGATCTTCACCTATGTTAATGCAATTTACTCCTCGTTTTAGTTCAGGTCCTTCACCATATAATCCAGCTACTGGTGCATTATCTAAACCTGCATTTTTATCATCACCAATGTTTGCTGGTAAACAATCTTCACCTTATAATAATCCTAATCCATCACCATTCTTAGGTTCAACACCTGCGTTCCAAGGTATTTCATCACCATTTATTAATTACTCATCACCTAGTATATTCCCTAAACCACAAGATAAATGAATTTGATTTCTTTTGTTTGGAAAAGAAGAAAGTTGTTTAAATAAAAATTATTTTATAAAATTAAAAAAATACTTTTTTTTAATTGAAAATTACAACTCAATTATTGCTGGAGAGAAGACTGTTGAGTATCTGTTGGAATTGAAGAAGGTTGATCTTGAGCTGGTTGATCATTTGTTTTTATATCTTTTGCTTTATTTTGTTTTGCGAGTTCTTGGTAACGTTCTTTATCTTCATCAGGGAGTTGTTTCCACATAGAAGATAAAGTTGACATTCCTTTTCCTCTACTACCTTTTTCTCT